CTGTTCAGGTGCTATGAACTGAATACTCGGATGTTTAGCTGCTGATGCCATGCTTCTCCCCAGGTTTTTCCCTGCCTGTAGCCTTCCTGATGGTACCCTTACTCATCTTCCTCTCCTATGGGGAGGCTGGGAGAAATAACTGTCCTCTATGTTTCTACTTAGTTTGAGTCTTCGGTTCTGATAATGCTGTAAAATCATCCATCTAGCTTTAGCGTTTTGGGGAAGAGCTATTTCCGCAATAGAGCTATTGTCTGCCCCATTTCTCCATGTGTAAGCAGTAAATAATTCAGGTTTCCTGGTCTTTATGGTCTCTAATGAACAATTGGTAGAAGATATTTGTAAAACAAGAGAAGAGTCGCCTTCATTTTTGGTAATAATTGCTCAATTATACTTTCAGTGCAGTTTATGTACTCATCACACTAGCAGAAGAGCTCTCTCTTGTTTTGCTCTGATACCATAACTTCTGCTGTTACCTCACAGGGATTTAATGGGCTGATGGTCCTCCTATTAAGTCCTTTTTAGGATCCTAGCTCTGTTCTCTGAGATGAAATTGATATTTCATGTAATATGCGCAGCAAAAACTATATTAGTAATGGGAGAGTGAATGAAAAGCTGCATCCCTGAATTCACCCAGAGTAATACTTCTGACCGGTTGCTCTAATTGCATTCAGATTTCAAATACATTGTCTGAGCTCTGATCCCTTCATCTTCACTAGTCCAAGGAGCAAGCGCTACACTGGAAGTGATTGCCGTATCTTTCTCTACAAATGGGATTGTCGATCTTCAACCTGCTGCTTTGTTCCCGATCCAAGTTATACTGAAAATGTTTTTCTTAACTAAAATACAGAAATTATCTTCTCATTTGTGGAACTTCTTCCTTGCAGCCTGTACTGAAGCATACTCCCAATCTGATGAACAATATGCTTGCCATCTTGGATGCCAGAACCAATTGCCATTTGCTGAGTTAAGACAAGAGCAAGTAAGTAGATGACATGTTTTTCAAATACCACCTACTTGTTTTCTGCTCAGGGTGTCTTCTCTCTTTTAAATTTGATCAAATGGAACAGAAATCTTCCTAAGGAGTGAAATTTAGACATGGGGTGAGGAAGAAAATGACTTCTGTCTTTTTCATGTAAAAACAAATGGAAAACCGCTTCGTGTTGTGTTTGCAGTTAATGTCCCTGATGCCAAGAATTCATCTCCTCTTTCCTCTGACACTGGTGAGATCGTTCTGGAGTGACATGATGGATTCAGCCCAGAGCTTCATAACATCCTCATGGACTTTCTACCTTCAAGCAGATGATGGCAAAATTGTCATATTCCAGGTGCTTCCCTTTTTCATTGAGATTGAAGTGTCCTGGGTGCTAAATGTTTAGCTCTGCTCCTTCCGGTCACAGAAAAGACTGTGGAGCGCTTTCAGAAGTGTTTAGTTTTTGATAGTATTTCACTGCCTTTTGGGGCCAGCGCAGGAAAAAAAAAATACAGACTTATGTGAATGGTGCATGTCTTAAGGTTATCTTCCCTATTAATTCTGAAAGTGTGAATGATCAAGATTGGTCGAAGTTTGCAGGCAGGATTTCCTAACTCCTTATTTTGTTTTAGTCAAAGCCAGAAGTGCAGTATGTTCCACAGCTTGATCAGGAAACTGGAGATACGAGAGAATCCTTGTCGCTGAGTAAAACAGCCCGTAAGTTCTTTTTTGTGCTTTGGAAGAAGAAATGCAAATGTTTCATGCCATGCAAGAAAAAAAGATGAAGTTGCATGTGGCGCGTGAAGGCAAATGTTTTAGAAAGCTAAAATGTAAATATATGTCCTATAGGCTGCCCTGTGCACACTTCCACAAAGTCTGTGGTAGAAACCAGACTGTGCTGGAAATAGAAACATGCAAGCTAGAGCCATTTTAAACTCTTCTTTTTATGCTCTCTGTACAGACAAGCTGTATGAAGCTGGATTCTTCTTTTATTTTGATTGCTTTCCTGTAAACTCTTTCTGCTGTTGTATTTTAGCAGACCTACGTCCAGGAAGTTCACAGACATACCGAGGGCTTTTTGAAGAGCGAGAAAATGATAGCTTTTTCAAGTGTCTTTCCACGTATGTGTATTCTAGTATGTAAAAGCCTAATATGTGGAGAATAAGAGTCCTTCATAGATGTATATAGTGGCGCTGTTGCAAGATCTCCCAGCGCTAGAAAGTCTGCTAGGTTCAAGAAGCATAGCACTTTGGAGTGGGTGTTAAAATTGTGTTTTTGACTGCTTGTTATTGCCACTTTTCCGTACTAGCTCCATGTTATTTGTAGGCTATGCTACCAACTTTCATTCTCCTTTCCATTCAGTTGAACATAATATTGATAATTTCCTACATTATTTTTTGAGTGTTCTGTGAACTATTTGATCAGTTCTGTGTTTTGCCTGTTCTTTAGCTCTTGGCTATGTTTCGGAGCAAGGCAGTTGCGTTTTGTGTTAGGTTCTGGGATCGTCTGATATGAAAGACGCTTTTGGCTCACTTCTAGGCTGAAGATACTCAATATATCTTTAAGCCTTGCTAAAGATCAGCGTGTTGGTTCCCCTTCCTCTTCCTCACTGATGCTTTCTACTTAAAAGTTTAGACATTAAGGATCAGCGTATTGCACCCTAAGTACATAACAGAAAAATCTGTTTTTAAAATTTTGAGTGGGAGGAAGCTTAGGGCCCAATAAACAGACTCCAAACAGTCTTTTAGTGTCTTTCATGTCAGATAGTAAATGGGCATTAGGAGTTACGTTGATTACCTCAGAAGTCTGAAGTCGGCTAGGTAGCTGGAGGAGCTAGAGGCTAGGAA